CTCACTCAGAGAAGCTCTCAAGAGTATCCCCACATTTCCCTATACGCTCAGCTGAGGACATAGCGGAATGAAAAAAGCTGATACCAGTCAGATTAGTGCGATCACAGTAGCTCAGGACATTTCAGTAAAGAGCATGTTCCTCACCAACAAGCATAGTGACCACGTTCCAAACATAGAGAACGTTCGCCATTAACAATTGCCGAGTCTGATGTAGTCGGAGTTTCAACCAGAAACCCCATCCGTATGGTACTGACTGTAGAGTTCATCGTGACAACGCGAGAAGCAGACCTCCAGGGAAAAGTTACTATACTATCTAGACAAAGAAGAGCAGAGTTGGAGTGCCGAGTTGGCCTCATATTTGCATTTGGATAACATAACGGTACAAGTATACAGTACATGTATTGGAGTCTCTACTCCTCTCAAAACTCTCGAGGACTATACATTCTACACAAAATGAGAGCACGATCTGGCTGCTGAGTAAAACTAATATTTGCAATTGAATAGCATTACGATACAAGTATACAGTAAAATAAATGGATGGCCCCAGCGTCATTCAGCAGGGCAATCCTCTTCCATCTTGGCAGATTCCCGCAACTTCTTGAAGTACTCGACGTTTTCAGCAAGTTGCTTCCTCCGAGGCTCCAAGGCAGGCCACATGTCAGCCATGGCGTTCCACAAGGGAGCTACGACGAAGTTCATAAACCCGAGTTGGAGGACAGCAAACTCGGCCCGATCGTCAGGGGAACTGTCCATGAAAGGCGCCGTGGGAATACCCTCAGATTTCTCCCTTAGAGAAAACTCCACATAAAATCTCGGGGTCCAACCCTTGCCGTTTCTCTGAACCTCGCAACAGTGAGCCCAACTCTATCGATTTCTCTACATCTTGCAACAGGGAGCAACGAACGACCTCAGTGAGGGCGTGTATATCAGGGAGCGACAACACGAGGAATAGTCGGAGAGCTCTCGCCATTATAAAAACGCTGTCAGACTTCAAGATACCTTCAGGCACACTGCGATCATTGATCGTAGTTAACGGCCAATGAGCCATAATTTTCAAAAAGCGATCCCTATTGCTGTTGTACCGTCTAGAACTCCGCTATATCTCTGTCACTCAAGAAGAACCAAAACCGTTCTACAAACTATAACCTCTCAACAGTCTTATACCTTACTCAAGCTGCGACTATTGATTCGATGTGCCATGAACATTTTTAATTGTAATACTTTCACATATGGTTCTGACAACCGGGAGACAACAGGCCCTTCATGAGCCCGGAAGGACAACCAATGAAGGAATTACTAGTAGATCACGAAATCCCACCTACATCTTATCCATCGTGCTCGACAACAGTACTACTGGATTACAACAGTATAACGCATGGACATCATCACACCAGCTCACATGCTATTTACAATGATGGCTATGAACTTGGTCATCTGAAGATCTTTCGCTTCTTACCTTGACTACTACTGGACCAGCTCTTGCTTTTGAGAGCTCCAGGGCGGCTCTTGTCAGTGGAAGCACTCTTTGTGATATCTCCTTCGGACCGAGATTTCTTCAGATTCTTTGCTCTGAGGAATGTGCGTAATAAGTTATAATCTGAGTACTCGTGAATCTCCCGACATTGCTACGTTGAATTTGCGAGTCACCATCAAGATAGATAAACTTGACCTTTCCCGGATAGGCTATCCTCTATGGATCAACCTTCAAATTGCCGCATGGACCTCATCTACGAGTTTTCACACAGCTGGGAGGTCAAGGATGTTAGCGGGTGTTCAACTTAGTGCGGTCTGGCAGCCCCGAGTGGAAGAACCGCACGAGCGCAAGTTTTTCCCACCGATGTAGGTTCTCCGGTGTTGATATACCACCCGATCAAAAAGTAACTTCCTGGATTTGGAATAGTTCATGCTCTAGTAGTTTTCGAAAATGGTCGTCATATAAAAGTCAGGTTCGTGGAAGGTTCTGATACGACAACTCAGACTCACTCAACCATGGGACAAAGTTGTTCAGCTTCATAACCATATTAACACTAATAGAGCTTCTCTCAAGAAAAAGAAGCTCTTCCAGTGTAGAGATAACAAACAGCTTAGGTGTCCGTTCACGCGTGGGCTTGACGCGTGATGTGACACCCAATACTATCAGCTGTGAGCACCACTTCGAATAAGAAATATATGCAACCTTGTCCGACACCTGTTCATCTATAGCTACAAGTCTATCACTTCCTACAAGGCGAAAATAAATCGACTAGTTGACGCGACGACTGAAGGAACCGCGTCGGCACAGTTACTATCCTAAGGGTACCGTTGTATCAAATGCGACGACGCCGTATCCTAGCAGTTCATACGCTCGAGTGAATCCACTTACTTCTTGATCTGTGCCGAATGGAAATCTTCGAAGGGTTTCAATGCACCTGACAAAAGCCTCATCGGCGAAGCGAAAACCGAGGAAGCACAAGCACGTCCAGAGAGAACGGCATGCGACTCTCTACAAGTGAGGTCGACAAAAACCAATGCAGACTTACTTTCAAGTTTCATCCGCACTACGGGCTCCAATAATTTGAAGATCAGCGTCGTTTCCCCACGTCTCTTCGCAACTAATATGAAGGGAACTACAGCGAGTTTGGAGCCAAATGTTGAGCCGAATAGAAGATGATAAACATCACCATCAAGGTTCATTGTGAGCCACCGATCAGCACCAGGGTCACACCTAGCCTTAGCACGGTCCATGTTAACGGGACGCGAACGAGTGAGCTTCTTAAAAAGCCCAAGCTTCTCTTTCTTTTTAGGAGCGCACTCGATCGGAATAGGAAAGAACGCATCGCCTCGTTGCAGATACCACGGCCCTTGGGGAGCGATCTTGGAGACCCGAAGCTCGTCGTCATCACCCACGAAAACAGCAGCGTCTGGCATCCCTATAGGAGCAGGGCGTGACAGCGAGATAACGTCTAAGGAACCATTGTATACATCAATTGTACTACCGGGGAAAAGGGTATGGATGTACGTGAAGTTGAAGGCTTTGCTCATTCTCATGGGGTCACAGTCAGTTGAACTCGCTCGAAAGATACCATCCTTGCCCAATCGCATCGCACAGAAGGACGTTTTACGATCAGCTACAACACCACGAGGGCTTGCTTTAACTCGGCTCAGCACCAGATAGTTGGGCTTCTTGTCAGTCAAAACAGCGCACATAATGTCGGCGACTTCTCCTGGGTGATCACCGTTAGAGATCACTACAAGAGCACTCACTCCATGAGCCAGTCCACAATGAACCTCCGGAGTAAAGCTAGAGGCGGACAGCTGCCCTCCAAGAGCGGGAACTGCTATGGTTAGAAGAATAAGGTATTGTATCATGTGGGAAAGATATTTGTGCGCGACGCGAGCGCGACCTGGAGAAAAGCAACAAAACGTAAGAGAGTAAGATTTAATTCGTCTGCACAAAAACTTTGCCGCAAAACTCACCAATTCGAAAACGTCTGAGCTCATGGGGAAGCCTACTCGTAGACTACTCAAACCCGAGAGCTGCTTGTGTAGGGAATTTCCCGACAGCCCGCGCGTCTCACCTGCGGATGATCTATCCCTGAATCTTGCATTTTTACCGCATATTCGACTTGGCGTTTTAGCGGATATCGACAACGGCCGATTGTTCATAAATGAGCTCATGATAGCGTTTTTGAGTTTGTTTTATTGAATGGCCATACCCTCATTTTCAGATTCTGACCTGGATATCTTCGTAGCTTTATTAGAAGAGCGGGCAGAGACCTTATTCACGAAGGTTGACAACACCATCACTGTATCGTACAAGAGGCAGGCTTGGAAGGATCTCTGCGAAGCTTTGAACACAAAGACTGGGAAGCAATTGAAATCTGATGTAATAAAAAAACGGTGGGATAATTTGAAGACGGCGACGAAGAATTACTATGCCGCCTTGGCGGAAGATAGGACTGCGACTGGCGGAGGGCCTCCGACGGTGCCAGTTGATCCGAGGCTGGAGCGCGTGAGGCATATTATGGGATTGGATAACCCCATGCTAGCTATATTGCCGGGAGCAAGGGATAGCGTAACAGCTCCCGCGGATGGATCGAGCAATGACCAGTGTCATGATGAGACGAGAGATAGCGGCGGAGATTTGCAAACGTATGTTGGTGAAGGAGATGAGATGGCTGACCGTATCGTAGCAGCGGTTGATGCTGCTGCCGTACAAGATCCGCCCGACTCTACTATGAGCGTGGGGGTCTCCTTCCGAGCTGATGCAGAAGCAGAAGCTGCTAGGTCAGGGGCTGCAGAAGCGGCGGCCACAGCTTCGGGGACGCCCGGTGTGGATAGGAGGCAGGCAAGGGTGGGAGAAGCTATCATTTTGCCGGCACTTCAATCATCTTCGTCGAAGGGAATGCGGAAAGATACGTCATATCCGATGTCGAAGATGACACCGTTTGCTGACAGTGTGTCCACTCCTACAGCAGCATTAATCCGGAAAATCCAAGACCAGCGTTCTAAGATCGAAGCTGAGCATATAGCTAAGATACGACTGCTCACTGCTCAAGAAAGGGAAGTTATCGCAGGACAGAATGCCCGAAGAGCCGAAGAAGAAGCCGCGCGTGCGAAGGAGCAGTATTACCGAGCAAAATTGGCTCGTCTTCAATAATGGCAGCAGTGTTGAACTGCCAATGTGTAGGTTTCCATATGATTGTGCTTTGTTGAGTTTGTTGAACTATCGTGAACACAACAAGAAGCTAAGGAAGAATGTTATCAGATAACGCAGTCATGTAATCAAATGGTACAGTGTCTTTCGGCATATACGTTCCGCACAGCATCCGCGGATAATCCACCGTCAATCGGTGGTTCGTCATCCACATGACGTAAGTGCTCGTGGGGATCTTCGGCGGCAGGGACCTCGCAGAGCGGCTGTTTCAGCTTCTCGGCCGTGTTGTGCAGTACGCATGCTGCTAAACACCAGAGGAACACCTATCGCCAGAGGAAGTCGACGATGTTGGCGGAACCTTCTCTCCATAGCCGACGCGTCCTCCTGCGAGTACCATGAAATCCAACGCGATACAACAGGAAAACACGAGCCAGCCCTAGCCAGGCTTATCAAGGACGAGATATCTACGTGTATCCTATGCCAGCGACTCTCAGCTAAGAGGCGAAGGGATCAGCCCTTGGGGGTGGCAGGTCCGAGTGAAGTGAACTCGGAACTCTCCTACAAAAGCTTATTGGAGAAGAAGAGACCATCGTATTATGTGACAGCAGTGGATGTCACATAAAACTCGGTAATATGACTTAAGTTCCTCAGGCTTACTTTTAAGGTAGTTTTGCAAAGTTATCTCTATCCGTTAACTATATCATGCTACATCAACAGTATTATATATCTATAAAATACTGATAAAGTTATGATCACGATAGTGTCATAGCTATAACATGATGACCAAAACATGTTCACACTAAATGCATGTAACTGGATACCTGTTGGATATGTGGCTGTAGAGTATATGCGTGTAGCGAGAGAAACCGTAACAGGAGAAGACTCTCTGCTGCTACCCTAACCGATGCATGCCTAACCTGTTGGAAGCCAATATTCAAAACTTCAGTCATGGGCCTCCTCACCGTTGTCTTGACGAAACGAAATTCCTCGAGACAAAAACAACCAGTGGCGCTGCTGGCGCGTTCAAGTACGCCATCCAGTAGATCGTCGGTTCGATTCTCGATACGACCACTTCTCCCCACAGTCCCTCCAGAAGGGGCAGCTTTAGAGCCTCTGACACTATCATATCCGAAGCTAGACATTTCAACAGCACGTTCGTTCAGTGTTGGAGAATATGCATATGCTCGACTACGCTTGTTGGTGATGATGAGGGAAAATTTGGGAATTCTTGTTGACTTCTATACAGTTTTAGTCCAAGTCGTGCATGAACTCTCATAAAATAACGTGAAAGCTCCTGAGCTCAGCTGAGAGAACTAAACAATATTTCAACACTGCGTTGGTTAGTGGCCGTTGCCTCAGTCAGAGAAGCTCTCAAACGTATCCTCAGTTTTCCCTGTACGCTCAGCAGAGGACATAGAGAAACGAAAGAAACTGGTATAAGTGAAATTCGATGAATAGTGCGATTACAGAGGTTTGTGAAATCACAGTAGAAAGCATGTGTGTCGCCGACAACTATATTGACCAGTGGTCAATGACCACGTTTTGAATAGAGCAAGCCTTCGTCATTGGGAAATACTGGGTCTTCTCAAAGTCAGATGTAGTCAGAGTTTTGACTGGACAATTAAACCCGAAACCTCATCCGTATGGTACTGACTGTACAGTTCATCGTAACAACGCAAGAAGCAGAGGCTCCCAGATGACGAAACATTATACTATCTACACAAAAGAATATTTGCATTTAAATAACATAACGGTACAAGTATACAATACATGTGATGGAATATCTACCTCAGAGAGCGCACAAAGAGCGCAGTCCGGGTGCTGAGTTAAACTGATATTCGCCCTCAAATAACATAACGGTACAAGTATACAGTAAAATAAATGGATAGCCCCAGCGTCATTCAGCAGGGCAATCCTCTTCCGTCTTGACAGATTCTCGCAGCTTCTTGAAGTACTCGACGTTTTCAGCAAGTTGCTTCCTCCGAGGCTCCAAGGCAGGCCACATGTCAGCCATGGCGTTCCACAAGGGAACTACGACGAAGTTCATAAACCCGAGTTGGAGGACAGCAAACTCGGCCCGATCGTCAGGGGAGCTGTCCATGAAAGGCGCCGTGGGAATACCCTCAGATTTCTCCCTGAGAGACTGACGGTAGAATTCCGTACTGACTCTATAAGCCCAGGCTTCGTACATATCAGTTGGCAACACCGCATTGCTGATGTCAGCAGCGTGAACCAAACATTTATGTACGAGCATTTTCGTGTCAGGACACGAAGTGTCGACCTCAAGAGCAGATCTAAGATCTTGCATTTGGGTCGTAAGGTCGAAGTGAACTTTCATATCCGTCGCGAGAATTGCCGCAATCGTTGTCTTCCGAAAGTCGGCAAAAGCCTCCTCTTGCCAGTCGGCGAGAAAATTGTTCTTCTCGGTCAGAATCAACTCAAAAGTCAACGCACTGTGCATACTCTCCAGAACTGCTTGATCGTTATAGCGGATCGCCAAGGGATGAACCTTCTTTACATAATAATCGTTGTTGACACCGTTGTGACCCACGTCATGAGAAACTGCTGCTATCAACAGAGCCAGCTGTTCTAATGGTGAGCAAAACTCATCTGCACCACCGTAGCGCATAAGACTGCCAGCCGCAGACATCACACTGTATGCGTGCTTAAAATTATGATAAGGATTATCAGAGTGATAGCGGTGAAAAAGATCAGAGATGAAACCTTGCATACGGATCATGTCAATAGCAACTACTCCCACTGAGAGATCCTGGTCGTTGAAGAATCCCCAAAGGTCAAGCACCGACAGGGCGTGATGTGCCAGAGTTCCCTCAGCAGTTCCGAGAACGTCCATTTCCCAAGACAAGAGATCTTCGAGTGAGGACCGGCACTTCCCTTCAGACTGGTGCCAATCTCGGAACAGTTCAACAGTCGTCAACATCACCGGAGCATTAGCATCATTATGGCGGTCTTTTCGTGGAGTCGCGTCACTTCTAGTATGACTCGGTCTCCGGGTGCTGGAGAGAAGCCCAGGTCGATCAATCCAGCCTTGGACAAAGCTGTTGATAGAAAGATTCTCCTTCTCGAGTTGCTCCGAGAATCTATGCAGTGCGATGGATCTCATCGATGTGAGGTGACCATCCGTTGTGAATCTTCGGTGATCGGATATCGCACATGAACCGCTGTTGCTAGGTATTTTTTCTCGAATATAGGAACACATGAATTCCGCAGGGTCATCGGGAAGCTCCTCAGCTAGGCGACGCAGTAGGTCAGTGAGGAAGTTCTCAAGATTGTGCTGCCGGAAGTATTCTGATACACCGAGGCCGCTGTTGTTGAAATTGCTGATGAGAACCTCAGGCGCCGACATGCGCTGCTGTGGTGAGACCACGGAAAGCTCCTCGCTAGAGGACATATGAGAACAACTGGATATCGTCCCAACCAGGGATCGAACCTGGGAGTAAAGCTGTACAAACCTGGGACCGACCTCTTGCCTTATAGACTAACTCGACTCCAAAAAACTACATGCATACATCAACAACATCAAGAACATGGACGAAGTCGCGACTTCTGCCAGTTACTGCAGCTAGTCCATCGCTATTGGACGAACCAACCGTCAATTTATCAACTCCTCCGTCGCTACTTCACTCGATGTGAGAAAAAACTCTTGACTGAGTGGATTACGTGATCAACTCTACCAGGACCGATTACAGCCGACGGAATGTGTGCTGGTTTGCTGACTGATCCACGGGAGGACCTGACCACGATGAAGTTCTTATCTATCCGGATCTAAAGACTGTATAGAAAGGAAAGTCTTCTTACATTTCAGTCTTCTCAACCTGACCTTCATCATCATAATCTGAAAACACGATGATAACAACAGCAGCGTTCAGTGTTGTAATGAATTTTCGCTATCCTCAACTGAGCTCAGGAGTTTCCTCACTGATTTTGAGTTTCCTCACCTACGAATTCGGGTAAACGTATACAGAAACCAACAAGAATTTCTCAAAATTTTCATAGTGTCACCGACACATGTGAGTACTTTCCCCACACTAACATCGTTTCTTCAGACCTACAATCAGCGAGCTCCTGAACAGGATTTTTCACTTCTCGGAGGATTGCAAAGTCGACGCTTCCGTCTGTCAACACATCCATCATGATGAGTACCATCTCGTTCTTCTCGCCGATGATTATATCAGCCGCATAACCAAACGACACGCCAAAGCCTGGCTCGTGAATACGGATCATGTCGTCGTCCGAAGATGCATCTAGTGCAACTACAGGAAATCTCAACTCTGGTCGTTCTATATGCAATTGGCACTGCTCGTCTCTATGTACGCGCCAGAACGGTTTATCGCTCTTGAAAACAGTACTAGTAGAGGTTCTTCTACACAGCGTGTGGAGCGAGTGCGGAACCACGTCCTTGAGTTCATACGGCAAGTCCGACCAGTACAATCTGCTAGTAGAAGGCATCGTAAAGTGGTTCGATTCACCTTGTGGATCACAGCTAGCATCTTTCATGGTAAACAGAAAGTCTTTTTCACGCTCATAACGGCATGTGACGGTATTTCTCGTCATTTTACCGCCATTTTCCGCAGTACTGTGCAAAAAGATGTTTTTCAATGGGTGACGGGAGGAACGATTGGCAATCGACAGCGACCCCGAACAACGGCACAACACTTGTGGGACCCCCCGCCACATTTCCTTCAACTCAGAAAGAGAAGGGTCGATAGTTGCACAAGAGAGAGTACCAGCATCGACCAGAACAAGGTACGGAGAGAACAGTAGAAGGACTAGAATTTCCTGAATGCGAGGTTGCATTGAGAGAAGCAAAAATCAACCTGAAAAGCCTCCCTGCATTTAAACTTCAATTTCATCATCGCCGACAACGAGCTAGTGTCGGTTCACTCTCGAAACAACATAGGAAAGGTTTCTGGAACAAACGCTGATGGTAGCATAACTCAACATCATTGACAGTACATCAAGTAAGAATACATGGACATCAACAACCAGATATATACACACATGTATACTCCAAGATTCCCAACTCACCCAATGAATAACATATCTCAACTTCTCTCTCTTGTGAGATTCACTAGAGCTGCTGTGGCTCACCACCGTAGTCGACTCTCACCCTAACGATATGAGTACTGCGAAGATAAAGCGGTTTGCTTCGGGTCCTACCAGTCATTATCCATACTAGTAGTGTTAAGTCTGGAGTATTCCAAATGGTCTACAAAGAGCAGTGACTTCACTCTAGAGACGAGTTCGCTCAACTACCTTGTAGCTCCTCTCGAGAGGCTTCCCTCAGAATGGAGAAGGACGCGAACGAGGTATATCTGGTACGAATTATCACCATCCTGGTTTTTGTGAAGCCAGTGCGGTATTCGCCGAACAAAACGTGAGTCTCATCGGTTCTCCCCAGAACGTCATGCCACTTGGCAGCTTTTGTCGGGTCATCACCTCGGACTTTCTTCAGAGAGCCGTCATTGAATTTCATATACCATTTGGACCCGTCACCTCTGCCAAGCCTCCAAGCTTTGACCTTTGGAATATCACTTATGAACAGGACGTTCTCTTTTCGCCGAGTGCCTTCCATTCGCTTAAGCTTTTTCATTCTATACTCCCGACCGGTTGAAACAGCCACGAGTTCTTTTGACACTGCTCGATATTTGAAGTCCACGGACTTGTGTTCAGGATCAAAAATCTTAGAGCGTGATGGAGACCGATAAACATTGGAACCCAACACGTTATCCATCTTCGTGGATTGTGTTAGTCTCTCTCTTACTTCGCCGTGGTCCTGAACCTTGTTGATGAAGAGGTGGTAGAGAGTATGATCCTCCTTGTCGAAAACTCCACACAAAATCTCTGGCTGCCACTCTCGCTGTTTCGCTACATCGTGCAACAGTGAGCAACGAACGACATCAGTGAGGGCGTGCATGATGGGGAGTGACGACTCCAGGAAAACGAGGAACAGTCGAAGAATTCCCGCCATTATGAAGAATTCTGCCAAACACACGGCGATCGTTGATCGCAGGTGACAGCCAATGAGCTATAATTTTCAAATTAGGATTCCCATTACTGCTGAACTGCCTACAACTCCGCTACTCCTCTGTCACACAAGAGGAGCCAAAACCGTTTCTCATACAACAACCTCACAAAGGGGCATTAAACTATACACAGGATGTTACTATTGAATCAATGTCTATCGATCATAGACGTTCTCCACTGTGAGGATTTCACAGACAGTTCTGATAAGAGCCGGACAACAGACCCTCTGTGACTTCGGAAGACCCCCGATGAAGGAATTGCGAGTAGCTGACAAAGGGCTACCAAAATCTTATTCATCGTACTCGACAACAGTACTGCTGGATTACAACAGTATAACGCATGAACATCATCACAACAACTCACATGTTGTCAACAACGATAGCTACCAACTTAGCCATTAGAAGATCCTTCGCTTCTTTCGATTCTCAGGGTGGCCCTCGCCATTGGGAGAAGCACTCCTGGCGATATTCCCTTCGGATCTAGACTTCTTCGGAGTCTTGCCTCTGAAGAAGGCAAGACCGTAATAAGCTGAGTACCAGTAAATCTAAATGATTCCACCGACTCCTGATATTGCTACGTTGAATTCGCGAATAACCATTAGAATAGGTCAGCAGTTGACCTATTTCGGATAGGCTTTCCTATGTGGAATCCATCGTGGATCAACTTGCATAATGCAGTATGGACCTCATCCATGACTATCGACATAACTGGGATGTTGTTCGGACCTTCCCTTCTTGCGGCGAGCGGGCATCCCCGCCTGGAGAAACCGCACGAGCGCAGATTATCCCCATTGACGTAAGTTCTCCGGTGCTAATATACTGCCCGATCAGAATACCGAGTCCTGGATTTGGACAAGCTCATGTTCACGCTGTCTTGAAGGATGGTCAGCTTATCAAAGACAAATTCATAGACGGTTCTGCTACGACAACTTGGAGTCATTCATCAGTTGAGCAAGGTTGAAATCATGTTGCTCAGCTACAGGAACCTACCTCACTGAGCAACAATTATGATACACACTCCTATTGCTTCTCTCGAAAGGAGAATCGCTTCCACTCGAGAGATAGGAAGCGGCTCAGATGTTCACGCGTGGACCCGACGCGTGAAGTGCTAACCTGGTAGACCTGGAGCTTATAGTATAGGTTTGCCCAACCTATATTATAAGCACCGGGCACCACTACGAATGAAAAATATACGTAAACTTGTCCGACATCTATTCATCCATTTGTACTAAGTGAATATTGATCGTCTACTCGATGCGACGACTGAATGAACCGCGTCGCCACAGTTGCTCTCCTAGCAGCAGAATCAGATATCGTCGCATCAAACGCGACGACACCGTATCCTGGCAACTCCTACGCTCGAGTGAACCCGCTTACTTCTTCTGTTTGATCTGTTCCGAGTGGAAGTCTTCGAAGGGTTTCAATGCGCCTGAAAGGAGTACCTCATCGGGAAAGCAAAAACCAAGGAAGCACAGACGCTTCTAGGGAGGCGAGCACGCGACTATTCACAAGAGAGGCAAGACGGTTATACAGTCCGAGCAGAGATTCTCTCGACAAGAGCCACTCACTCTTGAGCTTCTTCCGCATGATGGGCCGCAACACTGTGAACGTCAACGACCATTCCTGATGTCCCTTCGCAACTAATACGAACGGAACCCCAGCGAGTTTGAAGCCACTCACTGAACCGAGCAGAAGATGATGAAGATCACCATCAAGGCTCATTGTAACGCATTGACCGGCACCAGAGTCACAGGTAACGCTATCAGTGTTGACAGGCCGCGAACCAGAAAGCTTCTTGAAGAACCCGCGCTTCTTCTTCTTCTCGACACACTCCATCGGGATAGGGAAGAACGCATCGCCTCGTTGAAGATACCAAGGCCCCTCAGGGGTGACCTTGGCAACCCGAAACTCGTCATCATCACCCACGAAAACAGCGGCGTCGACGACCTCTATAGGAGCTGGTCGAGACAAGGAGATCTGCTCATCATCGTACTCTGACCATTGAACAGTGCTACTGGGGAAAAAGGTAGGAATGTACGTGAAGTTGAAAACTTTGCTCTCCCTCATGGGGTCACAGGCAGTTGATCTCGCTGTAAATGTACCATCCTTGACCGGTCGGATCGTACAGGAAGACGTGTTACGGTTGACTACCACACCACCGGCATCCTCTCCAATTCGGCTCACCACCAGATAGTCAGGCTTTTTCTCATCAGTCAAGACAGCGCACATAATGTCGGCGACTTCTCCGGGTTGACCACCGTTAGAAGCCGCTACAAATAGACTCCCTTCCTGAACTCGTCCACAATGAACCTCTGGGGTGAAGTTAGAGTCGGACAACTGCCCTCGTAAAGCGGGGACTACTGTGATCAGAAGGGTAAAGTGTTGAATCATGTGGGAAAGGTATTTGTGCGCAATGCGGACATGAACTGAGGAAATGCAGGCAAGTGTAAGAGAGCAAGATTCGCGTCGCCCGAACGAAGATGCAAATCAAATCAAAAACCACAGCACGCTTCGCCCATCTCAGCCGAACAAAATTTCCATAACTGATCCTACCACTACGGCCACTTCCAGAGATGAGGAATGGCGTAATACTAATCACTTTGAGAGAATTTCATGTGTTTCAAAACGATTTGATAAAGTAATGGTATTACTTGATAATATAGATATTACTCGATAATACGTTATAACCTACAAAAATCCAACTGCCGCTGCTAAGCTCAGACTATGGGAAAATGTGCAAGCTGCCGAGCAGGGAAGCCGGTCCGCCAGACTGGCCTGACTCAACCGAGTTGAGTCGTACGAGACCGCGAAACTGACCGATGTTATTCTTGACCGAAGCGTCAAGGAGTCGGCGGGCGACTTTCTCGTGTTGTGTATGTCTGCAGCTCGTGGAGAAGACAGCTTGGTTGAAGCCTCTGAGCAGTAGCATAGACACTCGAGAATGCTCACACTACCGGCACTGGTTGTCTGGTGGTGCTGATAGTGGATTCTTGAGGGTCAATCACTAGTGATGCTTGACTCGAACAGATCTCAGACTGATCAGCTCAACCCGAAAGAAGCCTCAGTTTGAGCTGATCCTTAGACGCCTCGCAAGTGGTGGCGCGGGAGAGAGGCAACCTCTAATGAGTAAGCCTGTGCTTGTCTCTTGAGCCAAGCTGACAGACGCGAGCATTGTCAGTTAAATGCGTGTTGTAGCTGCTTGACTGGCTGATCGGTTTTAAGGCTAACAATCGCAGCGATAGTGGAAACACGGGCGAAGGGAGTGCACGCGTGCAACCTATTGTATTTCTGGTTTATCAGTCTCACGTTGCGTGCGCTGTACCAAATCGATGGCAGCACCCTCACACTGTGAGGGTGTTGCGGTGTTTATGAACTCGTAGTTTATGTTCGAGGATCGGACATAAATATTCTAATTGCAAGACTCCAAACGACAGTGCTGACAAGAGCGAGAAAAGAAGCCCTCCCCGATCTCCGAGAGACACCCGACGAAGAATTCGCTTCTAGCAGGTAAGGCCACCCAAATCTTATTTATCGTGCGCGACAACGGTTCTGCAACAGTACAACGCATGGACATCATCACAACAACTCACATGTCATCAACAACAATGACTACGAACTTAGCAATCTAAAGAGCTTTCTTTTCTTGCCTGGACTACTCCTGGTCAAGCTCTTGGTACCAAGAATC